TGAATAACTTCGGCTTCGCTTATACCTTAGAAAAAATTACATCTCAATATAAAAAAAAAAGAAATATACAATATATCTGTGACATTTATTCGTGAAATTAAAAATGTATTTTTACGAATAATTGACATAAAATATATCGATTATATATCTTTTCACTTATATAGTTTCGCGAATTGGATTACATCTATTTTTCTCAGGTTTATTGAGTTATATATGCGCTTCTACGATAATTAGTAATTCGTACTTTTACGTCATCGATCGATCGCGCTATTATTGATGTATCGTTTCGTAACGTTCTTCTATTTCAATTGCTCTCACTGTCTTTTAAAGAGGTTGCGACATAGAAGAGGTCGTGTACGCGTCGAGAAGACACGTCTCAATTCTTCTTCTTCTTTTTCCGTAAATGACGTTGCGCACGATTGGCACGATTGGCACGATAATGGCACGTTTCGCGATCATCTATGACCAATGGCATTAGTCATGAGCCAATTTTGTTCCGGCTTCCTTTCGCCTCTTTGTTCGATCGTGAAAGAAGCACTCCTTCCCTGGCTATCGTTTCTTCGCCGACAGTGATTTTCTTGGCAACCGAAATTGGCGTGACTTCTCTGTTGCTTTGCGTAATTATGGACGGATTTAGAGTTAATGACGCGCATGCATCGAACAAATTTCTTGGATGATACATTTCTAGGTTCTTTTTAATCGTGACACATAATTAAACTATATTTTTCGGACGGGAATAGAATTTAATATATATAATTGATTTCCCCAATAATTTTTTGTGATTAGAGATTTGTGATTCTTAACATGACGATGTAAACTTTATTTTGTCTTGTGTCTATCAATATCGATAATAAAATAAAATCTAATATTTAATTATTTAATTTTATATAATTTAAATATGTGATTGTGTCATGTATGAATATAAGATTTTATAATATTATATAAATTTCGCAGCATAATATTAGATTTTATAATATTATATAAATTTCGCAGCATAATATTAATGTGAGATTTTTTGACTCTTTCGATCAAAAGTTGATGTATTAAAAATTAAGAATCTTTCTCGAATAGAGATATAAAAGTTTCAAGCACTCCTATGACTATTTATAATAGAAAATTTTGCGATAAACTTTGACAAATATACGTCCGAGAAAAAAAATAGTGAAACTCTGCCGGAAAATTTCCCGTGTAGGAGAATTTGCACGACACCTAGTGAAATAATTCAATGTTTAATTATTTAAAATTTCACTTTATATAATTTAAATATGTGTCATATTAATATAAAATTGTATAAATTTCACAACATAATATTAATGTGAGATTTTCTGACTCTTTCGATCAAAAGTTGATGTATTAAAAATTAAGAATCTTTCTCGAATAGAGATATAAAAGTTTCAAGCACTCCTATGACTATTTATAATAGAAAATTTTGCGATAAACTTTGACAAATATACGTCCGAGAAAAAAAATAGTGAAACTCTGCCGGAAAATTTCCCGTGTAGGAGAATTTGCACGACACCTAGTGAAATAATTCAATGTTTAATTATTTAAAATTTCACTTTATATAATTTAAATATGTGTCATATTAATATAAAATTTATAAATTTCACGGCGTAATATTAATGTGAGATTTTCTGACTCTTTCGATCAAAAGTTGATGTATTAAAAATTAAGAATCTTTCTCGAATAGAGATATAAAAGTTTCAAGCACTCCTATGACTATTTATAATAGGAAATTTTGCGATAAACTTTGACAACATTAAATATACGTCCGAGGAAGAAAATAGTAAAACTCTGTCGGAAAAATTCGCACGTAGGAGAATTTGCACGATACCTAGTGAAATAAATTCAATGTTTAATTATTTAAAATTTAACTTTATATAATTTAAATATGTGTCATATGAATATAAAATTTTATAAATTTCACAGCATAATATTAATGTGAAATTTTCTGACATTTTCGATCATAAGTTGATGTATTAAAAATTAAGAACCTTTCTGGAATGGATATAAAAGCACTTCTGCGACTATTTATAATAGAAAATTTTGCGATAAACTTTGACAACATAAATATACGTCCGAGGAAAAAAATAGTGAAACTGCCGGAAAAATTCGCAAGTAGGAAAATTTGCATGATACACCTAGTGTTCCCCAGGCGTGCGCGCGCGTGATCGCGTGTGCGCGTGCGCGCCGGCTCGCATTAATGCGGAGATCGGGGCCGTGGGAATGGAGCGAGTAGCGCGAGCGAGGCACGAGCGAGGCCCCCGCGAGGCCCCCGCGACGAGGGGGGAGGAGGGATACGGCGCCATTCACTCCCGCGGACGACAGGAAAGGCCGACGACTATCGGTCGCATGCGGGAAGAGACGTGTGTGGTAGCCGATTCCGCGCCGCGACACGTGCTTTTCCTTCGCGCCGAGAAATGTCAAATCGAGAAAGTAGCGGCGATTGTTCGCCACCGAAACCGTTCTCGACCCGGCACATGAAACCGGATTTATGACTACTTTCGCTATTAAGAACAGCATGTTTTTTTTTGCTCTTGCGTACTATCTAGTATCTTTTGATATTTTGATATATAATGCCACGCGTCTTGGGATTGATTATCTATACATACGAGTTAAATAACGTTGAGATATAAATATAAGAAGGCGGATCATTAATGTTAATGAAATTGGATGTTTTTCAAAATTAGTTTTTTTTTTAATTTTAGAAATCAATTATTAACTCGTATATCTCGTTAATTTTTTTTTCTATCGAAAAATTAATTTTAGTAATATTCATATAATTGGAAGAAGTTACAAGAGCGAATGCAAATTTTTGCCTTTTCATAATTTCCAAGAAAAGCTAAATTTATTTATTTTAGCTTTCTTGTCAATTATTAGCGAGAAAGTGATGCGATAAAAGAAAGTACGAAGTGGGTTTTTTTTACGTGGAATTGAAAATGTAATTCTTCAAATCGCATTCGCATTAATCGAATAACTTATCTCTACTTGTAATCTCTATTAATAAATTTAAACCGCGCTATTTTTTATTAACATTTTTTATTAAACATGTGTGATAAAAATCAAGATAATTAATTTTTTTCACGCTTCTTTCTTCATATCAAGTATATCATACATAATTATATCATACATAAATCAATTTTTATATTTTATTAAAGACATAAATCAATTTTTATATTTTATTAAAGACATCTTATAGATATTTTTGACATCGTAAAAACATCTAGATTTTTTGTATTTTATTTATTTTTTGTATTTTATTTAAATTTTTATAAATAGTTACAAGTGTATTTGTATATATATTCATATGACAAAAGTAGAATAATATGTCAGTCAATCATACATTATGATTCTTGCATGAGAAAAATTATAAATATTTCGAATACCACTGATATTTCAAAGGAACACAAGTTCGAAGTGTTCTCATCATGATATTTATGTGTGATATTTATGTGTGGCGAGAGGCAATTTTGTAGGAAAAATTCCTGCAGATGTTTTAATCATCGTAATTATGAGAAGAAGCTGTCGTGCGGTTGCAACATTACTCGTTTCGATAAATTTACGTGATCCGAATAATCGTAAAGCGATTGCAAAGAGGTAAAAAATCATGGTAGAGGGGCAACATAAGAGGATAATGAATTAATTTATTTAATCGATGCGATAAATCTTCGGTGAAAATAAATCATGTAATTGATACATTTCAGATAAATTTTTTTCCCCTTCTTTTATTAATATTACCTTATTGCGTTTGATCTTAATTAAACTAGAAAATTGCATGTCGAAAAAATTTCTGATCCTATAACGCAGGTGCAGACATGCATCTAATGCAGAGTTGTTTGAAGGGTTGCCTACCCTATAGGCTGATATTTACTTACCTACCCCAAAATATCAAAGGAGACTTGCAGGCAATTTTTTTTTATTTCCTTTATTCTTATCTATTATTTGCCCGCTGTTTTGTTCGAAATTGGTTAATTTATAAAAATTTATAAAACTTAATAGCTGCAAGGAATAGAACTGCGGAACAGAATTATTTATAAAGTTAATTATTTTAATAATTGTTTGACATTTCTTTTTATAATTTTTAATTTAAATTATAAGATGAATTTCTCAGTATTTATTATTTAATTTTTATCGATATATTTTGATATAGTTATATATTTTTAATATGTATCATGATATATATTTTATAAAAGTAAGTTAGATGTGTAAAATCGTGTACACTAATTTATTTATTATTTTATTTATAACAATAGTAGCAACTTCGCATTTCAAATTCATTTACTTTTCTTAACAAAATATCGTATAGTGCCAGATGACGTTAGCACTTCACAGCTAGAGTATCTATTAAGTAAATATATTTGAATTAGCTCTATTGAACAATTCGTAAATTTATTCACCCTTTCGGTTATTCTATTATGCTTCGATATACGGTTATTGATCATCGTGATATCTCTTATTATTTTTCGGTCTGCAAGTTGGGGTTACCCTTGCGTTTGCTGTGGAAAATCATGTGAATTCTCACGCACCCCATCCACTCTGCAGTGGACATGTGTCTATCACATATGGACAACACGTGCGCATGATTGATCTATATCGGTGCAGCATTTAAACGAACTATTGTCTGTTTGTTTTTTTTTTTTACCATTTTTTAGATTTAGCAAATAACAATTGATTTCAAACTTAATAAAAAAAGTTGATATTTTTTAAATTTATAAATTAAATTAAATTTATAAATTAAAATTTATAAATTTATTAAATATAAAGAAAGTCAACTAGCTAACTATATATTTTCTGATATAAAAATGAGAAAGATCAACATTTCTATTTAATAGTAAAAAAGATAAAGATTTTAAGAAATAAAAATACGAAAAATATTTGTATGATATTCTTAAAATTATTCACTTACAACTAAGGTGAGGGGAACGATGAATGAATTGAGACGCAAGATGTATATTTATATGTCAATATAACATTTATTTTAAACAAACATATATTGGAAGACATAGGAAACCGTCAGCTCGACGACATTAAAGCCGATATCACAATCTCAAAATAACACTACAAATTTGTATATATATTTTAAGTATGTCCTACAAGTACAAATATCACAAACGCGACTAATATGTCGCGATATAAAAATAAAGAAGGGAAAAAATATATATATATAATACGTCTCTCTTCGACGTACTCTATCAATTTTCATTACATCTACAGCAAGGAATGCTCGCCTCGGTCAGCCAATGTGTGCGACCGATAAAATTAAAATTAAATCTACTTGACATAATCTAGCGATCACAGTTTCGAAATGTCCTATTTAAGCTTTCGTCCTACACCTGGGCTGGTGACAGCCCTCGGCCTCGAAGGCACCGATCGGTGCAAAAGGATGTTTAGCGCATCTCGAGTAATCAGCTCTCGGACGATTCACCTTTGAGGTAGACACGGTTGTCCACGATGACAGCATCTCACGCCACCTGCACCTCTGGGAGCTGATGCTGCGAGAACGCGCGCTCCTTGTAGCACAGGTCTCTGTCGGCCATGCTGAGGGTCGTCCAGTAGAAGTCGCCGGCGTGGGTGTGGGCGAAATGCACCGGCACGTAGCACTGACCAGGCACAACCGGCACGACGGTCATCTGGCCGTCCAGGCAAACGGTGATGGCGGCACCCTCCTCGGCGTCTCGTAACTCTTGCAGGAGTCTGCGCTCCAACGCCTCATTGGCGTTGTTCTGATTGTCGACTTCCTCGGTGAAGATTTCGATTTGCGGCACGGCCTGCTGGCGCTTGCCGCTCTTGACGTACTTGCTGGTGCGCCTCTTGAGCATCTTCAGCAGAGGCTTCAACGGCTTCAGCATGCGTCTGCTCTTGCCGGCTTTCACGGCCTTGTCCTGGGACATGTTCAGATTGTAGAGATTGTCGTTGAGCTCGTTCTGGAACACGTCGCTGACCTCCAAGTCGAACAACACGTGTTCGGTTGCGGTTGTGGCGGCCATCTTTCCCTCCCTGTTTCTCTCTCTCTCTCTCTCTCTTTCTCTCTCTGAGCTTCTTCTCCCTTAAACCACGTACACTGAACCGGTTTTGTTTTCTGCCGAACTGTCGGAACTCGGAACACGTGGCACGAACTGTCGTTCGATAGGAACTTGGCGGGAGAACGTGGAAGCGGAGAACTTGGTGAATGTGCTTTTGGGCAAGTTGCTTTGAAGCGAGACGCTAGTGAGCGAATGGTACCTTAGTACGAGCAACCCCGTCCTTATATAGCCCCGCCAAGACTGCACGGGGTTACAGAGTGGGGAAGGCAGGTGCACTCTGGCTGTGGGAACTCGGAGAATTCGGAGCTTCCCACGTCGGGGTCCACGCCGACCATCTGCCGGTCTTCTCCTCCCTCCGCCTTCACCTCTTGATCGTCCACCTATCTCGGCCCCTGTAACACCCTGCTTGCAGGGGCCTCTCCGGTCTACATATACACGTGCGCATACACCCCCATGGTCACCCCCGTTCGACCTTATGTAGCGGATCTTCTCTCGTTTCGCCGATTCTGATTTCTTAGGGACTCTTCTAGAGGGGTCTCTTTCTCTAGGGTGCAGCCGGGATTTCTAGAGGCTGAAAGGGGATGGTGTTGCTGGCTTTTTCAAGACTGGCTCGAACCTGTTGCGACACGTTCGTGCACGTCACGCGAGTTTGCGTGAGGTGGGACGGATTTTGTCGTCAGCTTTGCGCCAAATACGGAGTATTTAACTTGTTGCGCCTCGCATCGGGGGTGACAAGTTGGCTGGTTAGACACGACATTGATAATAAAAATAATATGAACGCTCACAAATACTTAATTATGCCGAGTTGATCGTTGGATTCACGAAAGGTTTGTTATATCAACTTGTGTATGTTCAATTTTAACACGCGAACTAGCGTGATACAAAGAGGTATCAGATTTTGGAAATTGTGCATTCTACGTCATACGTAGATGATTCTTTGTTGGGGGGCGAGAAACAGTTTTCTATAAATTTTTTTATACATTTATATCTTATGTCTAAAATTAAAATTATTGCAAAATTTTATATATTAAATTATTTTTATATATTTTAATTTTTTATTCTAATATTGCATTGTCTAACTTTTTGGTATCAGGTTTTAGAAATTGTGCATTCTACGTCATACGTAGATGATTCTTTGTTGGGGGCGAGAAACAGTTTTCTATAAATTTTTTTATACATTTATATCTTATGTCTAAAATTAAAATTATTGCAAAATTTTATATGTTAAATTATTTTTATATATTTTAATTTTTTATTATAACATTGCATTGTCTGGCTTTTTCCAAATATTTTTAAAAGAAAAAAGGGAGAAAGTGTATTATATAATTATATAATATTATACAAAAATTAATATTTGTATTTGAATTGCATTATAATTATTTTTCATTGATTGAACTTTTTATAACTAAAATATTTAATGAGATTTTACGTCCACTTTATATATATATATTTGTTGACCTCCAGGTTCAGGAAAAATAATCTCGAGTGCGATCGTTGAGCCTGAGATTTTTAAGCCAAAAGATTAACGTATAACCGGTAAGTTATAGTAATTAACGTGCGGTAATAATGTATCCGGGCTTCCTTCATTACCCCACTGTACTCGAGAGATTTAGAGCCGAGAACCATCTAGACGCCTCGTGATAGGTGCGGCAACCCCCGCTATTAAATACACCTCCGACCGGATTTTTTATTATCTTGGAACTCTCGGTCCCTTGTCTTCATGACACGATCACGATGCTTCCATTAGCTGTATGTATACCATCACAAAAAAGTCTGAAAGTTTTTTTGAGGGATTATATTTTTTTCCTTCTCTCACACGTACCCCACGAATTGCCGAGGTTTTTTCTTCGGGATGATATTTTTTGACAACCTGTTTCGTGACAGACAAAGAGTAATGGATACGCGGTAGCACTTATTAGCGATAATATTATAAAAATAATAATTTAATAAATTATAATAATTAGTAGCGATAATTAAATCCATTGAAAATGTGTACAACTAAATATTAAAATATATTGTTATTTTGTATTTTTGAAAGAGGGATACGAAGCACATAGAAAAGCACTGTTAGAAATAAATTTTCTTGACAAATTTTAAGCAGCGTAGAAAATAAATAAAATTGCATAATTATTAATATCAATCAATTTTTGTGTGTCCTTCGTTATTTATTTATTATTTAAAGATATCATTTCATCACGTTTTTCTCATATTAAAAAGATTAATACACATTAGTCGGAGTGATTCGCTTATTTTGAACCACTAATAAAACCACTAGTGGTTTATAGGCGTTTGATGCACCTGAATACTAGTGGAAATCTATTGAGGGTGAAAACGAGTCTCATGTAGAATCCTATCGAGATGAGGGCAGGCACAGTATGGCTATATCCCGCAGGCAAACTTTGTCTGCCCTCTCGAAAGACAGGTACACTCGGATTATTTGTTTTCACTTGCGCTTCGGAAATACAGCTTGGGGCAGGTGAAACGTGTCTGGTGCTCTGCAGATTCGACTTACCTGCTCCTCGACGGAAGGATTCATAATTCGCAAGGGTGATTTCACTTACTATCGGCTTGATATTGTTTTTAGTGCTGAGATTTCTCTTTGAAAATTATTCTTGAAAAAATTCCTCGCAAAATTAATATACAAAGACAAATATTGCGATGAGCAAGTCTTTGTTATATTATTTCTTATATTTCAAGTTTTGCATTTTAAAATATTAGTGTAAATTAATATAAATATAAAAATAGTGTTTTTCTATTTCATATTTTTATACATGTCATTTTGATCAAACTTTAAGTAAAATATATATATATATATATATAATTTACAATTTAAATTTAATTTTTTAAATTCAATATACGTTTGAAAATTTAGTTATCTCTAATCACATATCATTTGATTTAACAGTCGATTTCGTCTTCGTTTTTAACTCGCAAATTCAACAAGCCTCGTTCTACATACGGCCAAAAAAAAAAAAGAAAAATTATCGACCTTTTCAAATATAGAATATAAAAATGTCATGGATCATTAGGCATACCGATCGACTGGTTTTCCTCACGTGGTCATAAGAGTCACTAGACTGTGTCGCATATTGAGTATGACTAATTCGTGGAGGCGCACAAGTGACAGTTTAAATTCCTCTTACACGAAACCGACAATAAAAACTAATCGGGGAGAAACAGTGTTTTTATACAAGATTGTAATATTTATCGAACTAATGGATATAACGAAGTTAATCATTGCAGCAACGACGCTAACTGGAATGTCTCTAGCTTGTAGAGCGTGATCTCGCTATTGCTGCCAGCAGGCAGCTCTCTAATGAAAATTGAGGAAACGGGTAATTTCGCGCGTTTCCTGTTAGCCGCGGATTTAAACCGGTTTGCGAGCGCGAATTCGCGGACGTTCTCCTCCAGCAGGATCACTCGCCTCGCTTGGCGCTCTTTCCCTCCGTTAATAGTCCGATGGAAAGAAGCCCTCTCTCTCTCTCTCTCTGTCTCTCGGGGGACCATCACGCCAGATCGGATAGACTTTACAACCGGTTCTTAACGCGACCGTCAAATTTTAATTAATTCGAGACCGTTCGCGCGGTGTCCTGATTTAAAGCCCCCTCCCCCCCGCCTTCCCTGTCTTGTGTTCGCGCGAGCGCGCACTTCATCCCGGAGGCATCTCACGTGAAATTAATAATTCATGATCGTTTTGCTCGTCCACATCCTAGCGATTCGAGAGAACGGCCCGTCAGGCTTCGAGAGCCGTTTCTTTTAGATTCTCTCGGACGGAAATTTACACGCGCATATTTTATAGTCACGATATAATCGCGGGGATTGCCTAACGAAACGCAAAGAGTCGCGGGCGCGTGTAACATGACGAATTTTCGGGAGACGCGTTTCTGCGGTCCCTTGAGCGGAATAAATCGGGGCCCCGGTTCATTAACCAACAAACGACTCGGCATAAATTACTCGCCGTCGATTAAACGTCGTCGATCTACGATTTTACAGCGCGGAAGGTTACCGCTAATGTCGATCGGCGATAACGTTTTCGTGTGAAAAGAATGGGAGAATCGGCAAATCGATTAGCTGCTGAATTTCATTATTATTATAAATCGACGAGGGCAAATTATTGGAACGTAACTTGAAAAAAAAGAAACCTGTTTCTCTAAGCAAGGAAATTTCTTGGATGAAAAACGGATCGGAGAAAAGTGATGGCATACATTTTTCAAGCTGAGAGATTAATAATGTAAGAATTTAATTAAAATAATATAATATTAATATAATTAAATAATATTAATATTGATTAATATTATTAATATTATAAATAAATAATATAATTAAAATAAATAAATTGATATAATTAAAATTTTATATAGCTATTGAAATATGCAGCTGAGCTTGCAGAAAATTTTCACGAAAATTACCGCTTGGCTGTTAATTTAAGCTGTTATCGGCTCGCAAACGACGATGAATATCTCGCAGAAACTGCGCGTCATATTCCTGTATTTATTCCGCGTCTCGAACGAAGGTATTAGATTATGCAAATCGCGTGCCGGACGAGTGTCGCGGGTTCCATCAGATAAAACGTTATTCCGGAGGTGGAGCGCGCGATCCCCTTCACGTTCGACCGTGGCAAACATTAGAGGTGAGCGATATGACACGATCTTGATTAAAATACTACCTCTGGCATTCCGCTACGCGATAGTATCTCGCTTTATCGCGTCATTAACCGACGAGAAAAAGGATCCGAACGTCTGGATAATCAGACGCACGTTGTGTATGGAATGCACCTAAAAGTCACTCGAGTCACGTGTGTTTCTTTCCATTTATTTAGTTGGCGTCTACAGGTACGCAGATTCTTTTTCGAGCTCGCAAATTTATTATATGGTACAGTATTGTATATATATATAATTATTATATAAATACAATATTATTTTCAATTATTATTATTATTATTAATTATATTTATTTTTATAATAATAATTATTATTAATGATATATATTTATTTTTATAATATTTTATATATTTTATAATTTTAATATTTTATAAATGTATTTTATACAATGAATATTATTATTATAAATATTATATAATAAATGATTATATATAATTGTTGGACGAAAGCCTATATAAAGTCGAATAGCATTTACACGAGTAATATTTTATGCGATAGCTAATGTTATTCGCTCGAAATGAAAAATAATAGACAAAGATCTGTAGAGGACACACAAAAGTCTGTCAAGGATTTATAAACAAACTCGCGCACATGACGTATCAAACGGCAAAACTCAGTCAGTTTAGCTGCGGAAGGTCAGCAGTGAGGACGTGTCTCGCAAGAGTCTTAAATTTTACTACGAAACATGGCATGTAAGTGATTAGAAAATACTATCCATACGCGTTAATAAATCTAATATCTTTCTGTTTAAATTAAATTTAACGTATATATGTGAATATGTGAAGATATTAATATAAAAAAAAACAAATATTACTTACTTTTATCATATATTGCTTATCAAATATTACTTATTTTTATCATATTATTATCCTATTATAGTACATATATGCAAATTCACGCGATACTTTTATCTTGAGAGAAAATCTGTGAGGGAAACCTGTCGTAAAAAATACTTTTTATTCAAAGTAATAAATATCGCGTGATTACATAATTTTTCGAAAAAAGAAGCCACGTCCGTGAATTAGAAGATCGTGACTGTGAACAAGCAGGTTGGCAGAGGAAGGACGTCGGGCGTTGAAAAGATCCTGGCTGTTATTTCAGAGCGCGACTTTTTACGTGGAATTTTCATTAGCATATAATTAATACATGAGCAATGACCGCGGCATTCTTTGCCCGTGTATGAAACTTGTACACGCACGTTCGAGAGAGAAGGGGCCCCCGATGAGATTGCGAAGGGAAAGGAGAAGGCGAGGACGAGCGTGCAGGCTAAACTAAAACAGTAGTGGTGACCCCCGAGGGGCTGAGCAGGCCCAAACAAGAAGTCCCTTCTGACGTCACCGGCAGGTGCAAGCAGAAGTGCATCCTTGTCTCGCGCATCTCTCTCCCTTTCTCCTCACCTTCCGCCTTCCTCGGCTTCTTTTTCTGCTTCCTCCTCGCGTGTAATCGTGCCGATTTCGAGATCGAGATAATTCGACCTGTACTCGACGTCCACCGTGAATCCGGTTGGTTTCGTTGAAAATTTTTGACGTATGTGCATTACTCTGAGCGCACTCGCTCTCTCGGGGCTTTAATTAATGATTTCCTTTGTGGCTCATTGAGTCGGTTGCGGATAAATTGCCGGAGTGATTGCAGGGGCGATATATAAGAGATACGCAATTTCGCAGACCCGTATTTCATAATTCGAAAAGTTGCATCGGAATAATCTGATGCTATCATATTTTTCATAGAATTTATTACCTATCACCGCTAAATGTTTAAACACATTTTTAATTTATTTTCTTCATATATATATATATATATATATATATATATATATATAAAATATAATTTATATAAAATTAAATTCGAAAACGTATATTGTTTATGCAGTGATTTTATTAAAAATTTTTTTTTAATTGTTAATATATACAATTTCTAATTTTTGTATTTTTCCAAATAATTCAATATGCGAACTCGAATTAGCTCGAGTTTAGTGTTACGGGGGATAATAGAAAAAAAACAGAGGAAATGCTTTGTCATAGAGATTTAATAGAATTTATTACCTATTAGCGCTAAATGTTTAAACACATTTTTAATTTATTTTCTTCATATATATATATATATATATATATATATATATATATATATATATAAAATATAGTTTATATAAAATTAAATTCGAAAACGTATATTGTTTATGCAGTGATTTTATTAAAAAATTATTAATATATACAATTTCTAATTTTTTTTATTTTTCGAAATAATTCAATATGCGAACTCGAATTAGCGTTACGGGGGGATAATAGAAAAAAAACAGAGGAAACGCTTTGTCATAGAGATTTAAAGACTACCGAAAACTCGATCCTAATCTACCCCTAGTGCCTGTAATCGAAAGGCGATACGATTCCACCGATGGAACACTTCACCGATTGTAATAAAATATCTCACTGAGAAACATTCCGTGGATTTCATGCCCGATAGCATCGTTTGTAAGTGGAACGACGAAATCCGAACGAGCTGCCAAGGTAGCTCCGTCTCGTTTTATCTCTCGAGGCGAAGGTAAACCGCATCCGCGGTTGGTACAGATGCAACGAGTTATCTCCGTCTTAAAATCGGTGCCATTACACATGAGCGCGCGCGAAAAAAGAAAGGAGACTGTTGATTTTTTTTTATTTTACGCGCGCGCATAATCTTGAGGTCGATTTGCTCGAATTATGCGATATTATTACAGCGGTAATCATCGTGCAACATTATGCGTTTCTTGTTTTATTTAATTTTATTTATTAAACTTTATATTCCACTTTAGAAACAAGTTTTTCGAAATCTTAATTCGAGATGTGCGATTTTCTCAACAAAACAAACCATAATATTTGATGATATACGTGCGTGATTATGACCTCACGATTTGATTAAACAATCGTAAAAACTTCCCCATTTTTTTCTTTTGCGCGAATCGTTATATTTTAAGTCTTGAAAAGGATATTGTGTCAACAGATTATTTTTGCTTGTTATCTTCACGAAAAAAAATCGATAATGGAAAAAGAAGAAACGACGATCGACGAAGGTAGATCAAGAAAAAGAGGATGATATTAAAAAAAAAAAGGAAAACCTTATTTATGCCGGGAGTGAAAAATAGTCCAACGACTCCCGCATTCGTTTTTTATTTCTCACTTTTACGGGGTTGATAATCGTTTTCGGCAGGTAGATGCCTTTCTCAGACAGATTTTCTTGATTGGAATTTTATCTCTCATCTCGCGTATGGAATTAAAATGTACGAGGAGTTCGTAAAAAATTCGCGTTTTCTCTATATACTTTGAGATTAATCCAGTTAATCATCCCATGGATTATATTTTCGCATGCGAAAAATTCTAAATACATAAAAATTTTATTATTCTTGAATAATCTCTATTTAAATATATGTAATTTTATGAAGTGTGTTAAATATATTTGTGACACTAAAAATTAATTTTAATATTAATTTTAATTGTTAATATTAATTTTAATTTTAATTGTATTATTTTACATTCTACAAATATAAAAATAAAGAGAACACATTTCTTGAAAGAAAGACTATAACTAATTAGTTTTATAAAATTTACCTTTTGTACTGCGCTAATTATGTCCAATGATCGAGCTGTTGACCTAGTGAATGCTCTTTCTCTTCGTGGCAAATGGGATGAATTTGTTTTTGAATAGATTCACGCGCTACATGCTATTGTCGAGGCTTATTAAATATTTTTTAGGGGATGTAGAACCTACGAATCAATACAAATTTTGATTATTAGGGCGGTACCGTGTGTAATCGGACCGAATTATATCTTGAATTACCAGGACACTCCCAACGGTTTCTAACGAGCTTTTTTTTACAGCTCGTCAATATATAATTCGTAAAGCTCGGCGTGTCTTCGACGAAGCATTTAATGATCGCGTTGAAGTGCGCGATTATAATTTGCCGCACATTTCATTTTTCCTTTTTTTTTTTTTATTCAGCAATTGCGCCGGTCGGTCGGGACGCGTTTCATCATCGCAATAAAATGCACTGTTATTTTGTGAATTAACGTTTCGCTAATTTCTGCTGCAGGTGAAGCAGCAGCACGGATTCGACGATCAGGACGACTGAAGCGGATCGACAAGTTTGCATCGGTATTGGTGAGTCTGTATCTTTTGTATCTTTGTGCTAAGCATTTAACACGCTAGTCATAAATATCTCCCCTAAATTTTGGACATTTATTATTCTTTGTTAATACGTCGTCGAAAACGCTAAACGTGTTAAAAATATTCAGAAATAATTTTATTTAACAATATTCCGAGTTACATCTACACTGAGGGAAAAATTTTTTTGAATCAAATAAATTTGTTTTCTTGAAATTTTTGCTTTAAATGGAAGGAATTGTTTATTTCACTTAAGCAAAAGCATTTAATTTTAATTAAATATGCATGTTATATTAAGTACATTATTTTCGTTTATATATTTTTTATATTTAAATACTATTTTCGTAAAATATATACTATCATTTATTAAATTAAATATATTATTTTTTTAAATTAAAAAATTAAAAATTTTGGGGAATAAAACATGCATTTTAATAAATATTTTGTAAAATTAAAATAAAAATGTTTAATTAAAAATTATATTTTTTTAAACATATGTAAATAAATACTTAACTTGAGCAAACAGACGTTTTGAATACAAGTAAATACGTGATTAGTACCCACCGAATAAATAGCTTTCTTGAGTTAACTTAAAATTTTTTTATTTCAAGATAATTTTTTCCTCAGTGTATCTATTTTTCCCCGGTGAAAAATTGAAGTCTGCGCAATGGACGAATATTTCACTGTGCTTCTTCACGATCGAGCGATCCATCCTTCGCGGATAAATCCTTTATGCGCTTCGGCTCGCTCGCCCATCCGTCAGGAAACCACGCAGAATCCTTTGTCCCCTCGGACCGGTCCAGGGAATTTCCGTGGGTAGAATAAAAAGGGCCGGACCATAATAATGCCGCGACGCGCGAGAGGACCCTTTCGATCCCTTTGAAACGTCGAAGGAGGGGTTGAAGACGGCCACGGGGGTGAATGCAATATTATTCAAAATCACGAAAATCTCCGGTAGAATTTCGTTATTTTCGAGGCCCATTCGGGATCGTAGATGCATATCTTACATCCTTGAATGGGCCACCGTACGGGGTAAGCATGGGGCCCATGTTTGTTCGGCGTTTTCTCCCTTCTCCCTCCCGCGTCGCAAGGATCGAGGATCGAGAGTGATCCAGGTAAAAAGGGTCAAAGGCGCTCACAAAGGACACCCCTCGCCCTCACACGCTCGCGAGTACACATGCGTGCGGCACGCAATCATAAAAGCGACATTTTTCGATCTTGCGCCGAGAGCGAATCGAATCGATTGAAAGAGAATTCAAGACGATTCAAGGGTTGATTTTTGTCTTCGTCTCGCCGGAAAAACCTGCCCACGACTGCATATGGTGATATAGTTTCCGCAGCTGCCGTTATATAGCCCTTTTTCCAAATTTTCACAAAGCTTACCAGGTGCGCGGTTAAAATTAGAATAATAGGTATTATGAGTTTTTTTCATGAAAATTCGAAAAAAATTAGTCCGCGAAGTAATATTTTAATGCACTTGTCGTTAGAGCGTCCCGGACTTCAACTCGGGAATCTTTTATTCTGCGCTTCAACCCTTTCACAGGTGCATCCCATCGGGAACCCTTTCCCTCGGTTATTGTTCGCAGGTTTCCGCTAACTCTTTCGGTACATCGCTGGTTGGGATTTTGGGTTAGCGGATCGGAGGGTCGAATGAGAAATACTCTCATGATTAACGGTATACTAGAGTAATTTCTGATGAACTATTTACTTGATCCGGTGCAATGCTTTTGTACATTATTTGTCATTGATAGTTTATTTCTGCTTCTTGATATTATTCACTCTTTCGATTATTTTTGTGAAAGATTTAAAAATAGAATTGTATTTTTAAAAAAGCATAGATTGATTTTCTTAAGAATTCTATAAAATATTGTATTAAAATGATACTTAATATTTTTATCAATAAATTTAAATCATATTTTGGAATCGCTTTCGGTATATTTCTGGATATACAATTTGCATCGCGAAAACATTTTTTTAAATCTTCAAAAAATTATGAAAGGTTAACGCGATTTTAAAAAATATAAATCAAGTTTGAATAAGAACTCGAAAAAAAGACTTTCTCAAATAGAAGCTCGCAAGTTTGATACTTCTTGATATTATTCACTCTTTCGATTATTTTTGTGAAAGATTTAAAAATAGAATTGTATTTTTAAAAAAGCATAGATTGATTTTCTTAAGAATTCTATAAAATATTGTATTAAAATGATACTTAATATTTTTTATCAATAAATTTAAATCATATTTGGAATCGCTTTCGGTATATTTCTGGATACAATTTGCATCGCGAAAACATTTTTAAATCTTCAAAAAATTATGAAAGGTTAACGCGATTTTAGAAAATATAAATCAAGTTTGAATAAGAACTCGAAAAAAAGACTTTCTCAAATAGAAGCTCGCAAGTTTGATACTTCTTGATATTATTCACTCTTTCGATTATTTTTGTGAAAGATTTAAAAATAGAATTGTATTTTTAAAAAAGCATAGATTAATTTTTTTAAGAATTCTATAAAATATTGTATTAAAATGATACTTAATATTTTTATCAATAAATTTAAATCATATTTGGAATCGCTTTCGGTATATTTCTGGATACAATTTGCATCGCGAAAACATTTTTAAATCTTCAAAAAATTATGAAAGATTAACGCGATTTTAGAAAATATAAATCAAGTTTGAATAAGAACTCGAAAAAAAGACTTTCTCAAATAGAAGCTCGCAAGTTTGATACTTCTTGATATTATTCACTCTTTCGATTATTTTTGTGAAAGATTTAAAAATAGAATTGTATTTTTAAAAAAGCATAGATTAATTTTTTTAAGAATTCTATAAAATATTGTATTAAAATATTACTTAATATTTTTATCAATAAATTTAAATCATATTTGGAATCGCTTTCGGTATATTTCTGGATATATAATTTGCATCGCGAAAACATTTTTTTAAATCTTCAAAAAATTATGAAAGGTTAACGCGATTTTAAAAAATATAAATCAAGTTTGAATAAGAACTCGAAAAAAAGACTTTCTCAAATAGAAGCTCGCAAGTTTGATACTTCTTGATATTATTCACTCTTTCGATTATTTTTGTGAAAGATTTAAAAATAGAATTGTATTTTTAAAAAAGCATAGATTGATTTTCTTAAGAATTCTATAAAATATTGTATTAAAATGATACTTAATATTTTTATCAATAAATTTAAATCATATTTTGGAATCGCTTTCGGTATATTTCTGGATATACAATTTGCATCGCGAAAACATTTTTTTAAATCTTCAAAAAATTATGAAAGGTTAACGCGATTTTAAAAAATATAAATCAAGTTTGAATAAGAACTCGAAAAAAAGACTTTCTCAAATAGAAGCTCGCAAGTTTGATACTTCTTGATATTATTCACTCTTTCGATTATTTTTGTGAAAGATTTAAAAATAGAATTGTATTTTTAAAAAAGCATAGATTGATTTTCTTAAGAATTCTATAAAATATTGTATTAAAATGATACTTAATATTTTTATCAATAAATTTAAATCATATTTGGAATCGCTTTCGGTATATTTCTGGATATACAATTTGCATCGCGAAAACATTTTTTTAAATCTTCAAAAAATTATGAAAGGTTAACGCGATTTTAGAAAATATAAATCAAGTTTGAATAAGAACTCGAAAAAAAGACTTTCTCAAATAGAAGCTCGCAGGTTTGATACTTCTTGATATTATTGACTTTTTCGATTATTTTTGTGAAAGATTTAAAAATAGAATTGTATTTTTAAAAAAGCATAGATTGATTTTCTTAAGAATTCTATAAAATATTGTATTAAAATGATACTTAATATTTTTATCAATAAATTTAAATCATATTTTGGAATCGCTTTCGGTATATTTCTGGATATACAATTTGCATTGCGAAAACATTTTTAAATCTTCAAAAAATTATGAAAGATTAACGCGATTTTAAAAAATATAAATCAAGTTTGAATAAGAACTCGAAAAAAAGACTTTCTCAAATAGAAGCTCGCAAGTTTGATACTTCTTGATATTATTCACTCTTTCGATTATTTTTGTGAAAGATTTAAAAATAGAATTGTATTTTTAAAAAAGCATAGATTGATTTTCTTAAGAATTCTATAAAATATTGTATTAAAATGATACTTAATATTTTTATCAATAAATTTAAATCATATTTGGAATCGCTTTCGGTATATTTCTGGATATACAATTTGCATTGCGAAAACATTTTTAAATCTTCAAAAAATTATGAAAGATTAACGCGATTTTAGAAAATATAATATCAAGTTTGATTGAATAAGAACTCAAAAAATAGACTTTCTCAAACAGAAGCTCGCAGGTTTGGACAGTCTAGACACGTTTCGCCATTTCGCTCAAGAAGAAAAGATTTCTTCCTGTGTAACATGTTACATAAACTCGAAACGTTTGCAACAGACAGAATCCGCCCTGCAGGTTCGAACCTGCACAAAGTATTCAACTGCTTTGACCAAGTTTCTTCACGTGTTGGCAGCAAACGAGACATGTTGAAACTTGCACAGATCTTCCGCACAGATCAGTATTTGGGTCTCGTCCCAAAGTCTCGCGCGAAGAAGGATCCTGCCGGATGCCAGGACCTGCCGCGTCGCTTGAAAAGCGAATCCAACACGGGGGTGGATGCATTCTCGGGGTTGTGTGAAGAATCCCTTTTAAAGGGACGCGACCTAACTCTCTCGTGCGATGCTTCGACACGCACTTTTCAATGGCGAATTTCGTCATCCTAGATGCGCATAGAAAGGGGAAGGATTCGTATGGTTGCGGACAACTGTATCCGTGACGCATAAATTTTGCTCGGGGCATCCTCGAAATTTTCACTCGTTGCCTCCCTACTCTGGCTCTGAATATCCTTTCATCATTCGCATTAAATTCACAGAGAGTAATCTTCACCTTGAAATGTGAATTCTTCCCATTACATATGTGACTTAATAATATATTTTGTACAATATTTACAATATTTTAGAA